GTGCTTTAATATTTGTTCATTAACATGTCTGATAAAAATCCAACTATGTTGATGTCGGCCAAGCAGCAGAAAACTATTTCAGCTCTCTGTAACAGCCTTTCCCCAATTTCAAGAAACAGCCAGGTACATAGTATAGATGATGAAACTTTTAAATGTTTCAAGTGGTTTTTTTTTCTTTCTTCCTCTCCAGTATCAATGCAATGTTAAGAAATCAAGAAATGTTAAGAAATCAAGCACTCAAAAGTCAAGAAATATAAAGTTACAGATGAATCTTAATATTATCCCTTGTCCTTAAATCTAAAAATATGGTGGTGTCCCTGTATATGATAAAGCAATGCTATAGAAAGTGTGACAAAGCCCTGCCTCTGGATAGGAGGTGATGAAATCCCCATTTGACAGTTGAGGAGATGAAATAGAGGCCCTAAAAGTGACTTCAGACAGGAAGCCTGCAGCAGAGCAAAGTCTCAAACTGGGCACTCCCAAGTCCAAGACTATCAGCCTAGACCACTCTTAAGTGCCACTGGAAACAGACAATTTTTTTTCAAACATCCAGTTAAGTTAGCTGAGTTCCATAGTACACTCTGTTCTGAATTATCATCACATATTGTCCTTGAAAGCCCACAGCCAGTTCTGACTGAGAAATATTGCACTGTTTGATTCAGTTCCTGATTACTAATACTTTAATAGCCATCAATGGACGATTTGCAGCAGGGGTCACTATGTAATAAATACCCACTTGGTGATCTATTTATTTTAAAATCTGAGTGCATTTCTAACTAGCTGATCACTTCCCTACAGTAAATAAGGACGTAATACACCGAGAGCAAATGAGAGGAAAAAAAATGAAAAGGTAACATGTATGGCAGTGAAAAACAGATTTATTGCTGAGGGGACATCATAAAGGTCATGGCAAGGAAAGTTATTCATCAAATACTTATTATCAAGGCATAATTACCATATGTGAAACCAACTGTTTGTGCCCAATTGACATGTAAGACATATATCCACATAAAAAGTGTGTTTTGTAAGAGATATTTTTCCTCCTCTTTTTGATCCATGAGAAATATTTAATGTATTACCCCAAGGATTTCCCAGAACACAGTGTTAGAGCGTGAGTGTGAGAGTGAGAGCGAATAATAGCCCAATATTTAGGTTGCCTAATACTTTCTTTATAGATCTTCTTTGTAGTCAGATACCAAATCACTAAATTCTGGGATAATCAAGGTGACATATGCAAAACCACTAATATCAAAAGTCATCTAATGGACATTTCTTCTACTCAGAGATACATGTTGCCATCACAGCCACCATCATAAGGAAAAAAAAAAGGATTTTAAATGTTCATTTTTAACACTTCGATCATGAAAATGCCTCCTATATGACTAAATGTAAAATCCTCCCAGGACCACTTTTCCCAATAAGTATATTTTTCCAGAACCATGCATATAAGATAAGAGTGGGAGGGCATAGGGTCCAGGAAGTTTGGTTTGTTGATGAAGGGAAATTGGGAAAGAATATTCTGGAAGACTAGCATCTCTATCTGGGAAGAGTTAAGGTTGTTATACCTTGTGGCTACATCTAGACTGGCATGATTTTCCGCAAATGCTTTTAACGGAAAACTTTTCCGTTAAAAGCATTTGCGGAAAATCATGCCAGTCTAGATGTAGCCACAAGGTATAACAACCTTAACTCTTCCCAGATAGAGATGCTAGTCTTCCAGAATATTCTTTCCCAATTTCCCTTCATCAACAAACCAAACTTCCTGGACCCTATGCCCTCCCACTCTTATCTTATATGCATGGTTCTGGAAAAATATACTTATTGGGAAAAGTGGTCCTGGGAGGCTTTTACATTTAGTCATATAGGAGGCATTTTCATGATCGAAGTGTTAAAAATGAACATTTAAAATCCTTTTTTTTTTCCTTATTTGGAAATATTTCATATGGTGCATCAGAGGATAGGACTTGCTAATGGATAATATATTATGAAATGGCTACCCATCACATACAGTTTTTCAGTCATGAAAAATAATGTTAATGGATGTGTATATTTATATAGATAGTTTAGTAAATTAATAGAAAAATAGATATAACATAAACCTTATTGAGTACAACTTTCTGACTTTTTATGGACTGTAGTTTTAAGAGAGAAACCCAAAATATGAAAATTCACTATGTTGTTTTGGGTCCATTTATAATTAATTATAATCCAAAGATTAGTGGATTTCTTTGAAAATCCTCACAAACAACAACATGTATCAATAAATTCATTGCTGTAAATCAGAGGTTTAATCTTTATACAAACCAAATCCCTGCTTTAAGTGCAACATGGAACCAACTTTACCTTTGGAATTATTATCATTCCTCCATAATGAAAAATGAATTATTGACAAACCAAATCATCTGTGGCAGGGATAAATTGCAGAATATTGTAATAAATGCATTTATTTATTTACCTTGGACTGCCTCACCTGTATTAGGATCATCTAACCTGAACTCTGTTTACTAATTCATTTCCTTGGAACTCTAGCCCTAATTCCAAAACCTGGAGCAGCTACAGGCAGACACCATATTTAAATAAATGGATTGTACCACAAACGGTGGTTTTTTTCTTTCCCCATCCCTCAAAACAAAAAGTTTCTCTTTCTAAATTACATTGGCCTGAAGCTCTTAGACAACGTTCTGTCTTGGACCAATGACAGGTTTAAAGGTAACTGTTTTGCAGTAAATCATAGATTTTGATCCATAAATCAACTATTCATCAAAATCTTTTCAGAAATATCTTAAGTACAATTTTCCTTTCACTCCAAAGCCTCTTGCATTGGGTTCCTGATACTATGGCAAATGGCTTTATGGAGGAATTTAATAATATCATCAATTATTTTAAAAAGTCTTTTGTACAATAATTCTGATTTTTCTTCTGTGAAGCATAAGGCACATACAGAATACATGATGGGAGGGTGTGGTTATAAACATAGGAAATGTGGAATTAATAGAGATTAAATACCTATGGTATCAAACTGTCCATTTTGCTACTTTCTTCCTTTCCTGGGAGCTTTGTGATTTCCTTTGGTGCTAGATGTATACCTACCATAACTTCCATCTTCTTCCTGTATCTCACTCTACTGTGGTTTTGCCAACTCCCTCAATTTAATCACGTATTTGATTTTTTAAAGTCCTGTCTCCTGTATGAGATTCAGTTTTACTTAAAGTTTCTAGTCCTTATAGCTGCAAAGAAAAACTTGAAAATGTTGATGTGAGAGGCTAAGTCCAAGAAACAGAAACAAATAAAAAGACATTCTGCTTGTTGTTATTGTTATTTTTGTGCAGGGACGGAACTGACTCAAGGTCTCTGAATGCTTGAGTTTGTCCAGGCAACTCCAAAAAAACCCAGGTCCATTTGCATTAAGATTTTTACTCTTGTGCCTCAGGTTTTTTAAAAAAATAAAAGAAGGCAGGGACCATTAGCATATAGTTCATTACAGTACACTCAAACTGTGTAGCTTAAAAGATGAAATTTGACTATGTATGCCAGAATCTCCCAATAGGCAACTAAAGGATTGTTTAAAGGAACAAAAAGATTTATATACTTATGAGGCAAAGAAATAAATCTCTCCTCATTAGCATAATAAAACACCTAAAAGAGGATTCAAATGGGAAAACATTTCACCTTTATAATGTAACATGCAAAGCCAACAACAAATAGCATGTTTGAGAATTGTGTCATTGACACTTTTACAATTCTCTTCAACCAATATTACAGAAAGACAATTTACCTGTGTTTTTTAAGTCATGAAACCCCACACTGCTGCAGACACAGTGAAGGTCTGCATTCAAGAGCAAAGAGTTAGCAGAGGCTGGAGAGTCCAAACAGAGGAGATCCTCTCTTCACTTTTGCAGCAGTGGCCTGGCCCGACTGCCTTGTACATGTTTTCAAATCATGTTTAATTGAGTCTCACAAAACTCCAGTAAGATAGCAAAATACCTTTACTCAAAGAGAAATAGAGGCTCAATAGATTGTGAGTTATATATCTTTATATTTTAAATTCGTGTCAGAGCTAAGATTAGAAGGCAGATCTCATTATAAAAAAAAAAAAGTATGCTGGTGTTGACTCGCCACAGCGGCACCTCCTGCTGGCCATCACAGGAATTAACTCTGCCACCATTGCCTTTTCTGTTATCTTCTCTGCCTGAAGACCCATCTCAGTCCATGTATTAGAGCATTCTCTTCATGACTTGACCCTCCAGCAGAGTCACCATCAATATTTTTCCCATTCTGGGGTTCAGTCCATTATTTTGGCCACTTCCCAAAAGAACGGCCATACTGGGTCAGTTCTAAGTATGTCCAGCCCAATATCCTCTCTGTCGATGGTGGACATTGCTAGATGCTCACAGAGGGAGTAAAAAAAACACGTAATCATCCCTCTCCTGTCATCCATTTCCATCTCTGAATTGACCTGGCTTCCAGTTACAAAGCTCATGGAATCCTCCTCCCCACCCAGTAATTTCTTGAACCCCAATATTCCTGCCCCCTCTTCCCCGATACTTTTTCATATGAACCCTAGAGCAGGATGTGTTAGCTTACTGGCAGCCAGCAACCTGGACAGTCTCATTACCATCAGGCAAAATGTCCCTGTCCCCTAAGTGAATGGCCACCAGAGAGGAGCTGTTTTTATCTGCCCCCACCCCTTATGGCATATTTGTTTTCACTCCTGGAGAGGAATGAATGAGATACTCTCCCATTTCCTCAGCAGTGTCTGTAGCTTTACTCCTCCTGTCTGGGGCTTCTGCACAAGACCCCCTTCTTTCTGATGATAGACCCTGAGAGCCCTAACCAGCTTTAAAAAGTCTCTCTCCTGAATCAGGTCTTTCCTGACCACAGATTTCTGTGCACCAGTATCTCTCCATGCAGTCACTGGCCAGTGACTGACAGTCTTCATGTGCTTACTACCTGGCTATGCTGTGGCAATTTTTACACATCCTGTGTGACAAATAGCAACTCCTTGAGATGCCTCTGTGCGCTGAATAGCAGCATTTCCATGAGTTATTTGCTACCTTTTTCCACTCGGTATAGGGCATTTATTTCTCAGGTGCTCAGTGGTGTTATAGTGATACCATGTTCTAGGATCCTCCTTCTTACAGGAGATTTCGGATGAGGACTCAAGTGAACTTGGGGAGATGTCTCACCTACTCTCCTTCTTATGTGCTTTCCAATTATTTAAACCCCTTTGTTTGTGATTTATTCCTAACTAGCTGCTTTAAATTTCTTAAATTGATCCACATAAGAAGCAAATTGTTCATCATTTTCTATTTTATCCCATAAACATGGTTTTACATGATTAGACATATTCTGGAACTGTTCCTGAAAAACCAAATCACACATTCCTTCAAACTTGTATATCATTACCCCTCACCCACTTATCCAATAAATGTCTGATTTGGTTCACATAAGCCATATTACTTAACCCAACCCCTCTCTTATTGCTTCTGAATTGTATTCTATACATTTCAAGTGTAATCTGAAACTGGTTTAGAACCAATTCCTTAAATTTTACATAATTGGAAGCATCACCAGTTGGCATCTTATTAAATATGTCCAGAGCTCTCCCCATCAACTATGCAACCACAGTATCCATCTTCTGAGCCTCAGGAATCCCAGGGAACATATACAGGCTCTGAAAGGTAATGAAATATGCAATGATATTTCCAGACTCATTGTATGATGGACACAACTGCTCCCACTTGTGAATTTTTGGAGAGGTGAGATCCCTTGGCGGGGGGTCCTAGTTCTACTTCCCTAACTGAGCCGATTCATGCAATCTCATTTTTCCGTCACTTCTCCATTTTTTTACTTGAAGTTCTGTGGCTTGCTTCTGGGCTTCCAAGGCTCTCTCATGAGCTGCTTTCTCCCTGGCACTTTCTGCTTCCAGTAATTCCATATGCCTTTTTTGTTCTTCATTTCTCACTGCCTGCAATCTGCAGAGGCCCAATGCTACAACTGTTCTACTATTTTTAATCATTTTACTGCTTTGCCTGTTCCTTCTTTCCTTTCCTGAAATAAGCAAACAGAAAACAACAAGAAGCTTCAGGGGGTAGCCGAGTTAGTCGGTACAGAAAAAAACAACAAATGGTCTGGTGGCACTTTATAGACTAACAAAACATGTAGATGATATCAGATGAAGTGGGCTATGCCCACGAAAGCTCATGATACCATCTACATGTTTTATTAGTCTATATAGTGCTACCAGACCATTTGTAGAAAATAACAAACCAGTAAACACTTTGTCTATTCTCTAGTCACCACACTTAAAACTCACTCAAAATCACTACCTGTGTTTCAGGGCAATAAGATGTACACACTATCCTGCTCAAATATACCCCTGGGATAATGACATCTGATGAGTTGAGATACCACTGAGTCAGCCTATTCTGCCATCCTGGGTCCCCTTTACCTGGTCTTGCTGGGCCAAGCTCACAAGCTATTTCCAGCCAAGCAAACAAGCCTGCTGCAGAATGATATAGACACTAAGATCAGCTTTGGGAAGACTCATCTTAAGGGACTTGCATCTTAAGCGACTTGCCTCACCTCGAGGTGTTCACCCTCCTTGGCGTACAAATCCAAAATTATATGAAATTCACCTCTTCCCTTGATGTGGAGGAAGATAGGCACACCTTATTGCCCTGCCATTAGAAAATACATAAACTGGGTTATATTATCAACAAGGAAGACATTTCTTAACTACTAAAAGTTGTATTTTAAGTGATTACGTAACTACTTCATTATTTTAAATCCTCCCCAAAAAAATTTTTTTTTTAAATTTTGATTTCAATATTTGTTTGTGACTGAACCTGTCTGAGATTACATTGCTCTCATTCCTATTTTAGCATCTCAAATAGAAAGGCACAATATATTGAAGTTTATGATATGAAGCTATTGCCTGGCAGGTTGAGAAATAGACCAAATAGAATATACAACACCCACTGTCATAAGCTACTTTTCAACCCAAGAGCAATATGTTTCTAATATAAGTGAAACATTTGCCTATATATATTTAACTAAATATTGTAAACACCATATTTCAAATTGAACTCACAGGCTTTACTCTCTGAACAACGAGTGAAAAATATACGTGCAGAAATTGGGACTGTACAGTGTGCAGCTGGGCATACTGTTAAAATTTTAATGCAGACTTTGAAAATGCTAGAAGTCTTTGAAAAAGCTAGAATGATTGAAGTATTTCTCCTTTAGTGAGACATATGATCCTGAAAGGGTGACTGGAAATTGCACTAGGAAAAAAACCCCAAAAGCAGGAAAACCCTTTTTTGTATTTAAATGCTAATATATGCCTTAGGTAACATTCATGTAATAAGTAAGGGCTATCTTTCAGGTGTGTAATGTTGGCCTATCAGCATCTAGACCTCATAGAAACTCTGCCAAGTTTTACTCACCAGTATTTGGAATAATGATCAGGCTGCTGAAAATTTAGGATTTTGGGAGTTGGTAAATGACAGGAAATCTTTGAGTTAGTTTGCATTGGGGAGATAAGTATAAATAGCATTTTAAAGCTTCTCTCCAAACAGAAAGGAGGAATACAGAGTTCTTCTTGTCTGGCATTTGGACCTGGTTATGTGACTTCAGTGATGCATTGTGAGGGTTAAATGGAGGTAAGTGATGGAAAGTTAAGAAAAGAACCTTAGTGGAAACAGAAAATGAGATATCCACAGCTCAATGTTCAAATATGCGGGTCTTAATAAGAAATCTGAATTATGCACTTGGATGCTCTGATGAGCATGTGCACAACTAAGCAAATATCTAGCTTTTCAAATGCCAGCGCTCTATTGGTTACATCTCATAGATATTTATACAAACTTTAGCGCTTGAACAACTTACTATGAATTTCTATAATAAAACTAACAAATTCTAAGAGCTTTATGTGAAAATTTTAGCCAGGACCCGACAGGGGTAGGGAGGAGAGGCAACAAGGGCAACTGCCCCTGGGCCTGGTGATTCAAAAGGGTTCAGGGCTCCCGAGGCAACAAGGGCAACTGCCCCTGGGCCTTGTGATTCAAAAGGGTTCAGGGCTCCTAATCACATTGCTGTTCCTGCAGCAGCTATGGTGGCCGGAGCTCCAGGCCCTTTAAATTGCCACCAGAGTGGTCTGTGGCACGCTCTGGGTGGCTGTGAGGGCTGGTGGGGTGGGGAGGGAAAGTGGTGTAGCATGGTGCTGAGAGCTGACTGCCCCAGCTCTGCCCTTTCTCCTTGTGGCCCTGCTCCTTCTGTGATCACAGAGCTGCTCCCCCTCCAACTTTGCCTAGGAGCCTGGCAAATCCGTCATCTTCCTGATCGTGATCACAGAGCTGCTCCCCCTCCAACTTTGCCCAGGAGCCTGGCAAATCCGTTACCTTCCTGATCTTGGCTCAGTTGTTGGAAATAGCAGCCCAAGATTTAATATATCTGTACCATTCACATGGCTTTGAGGGTCATTGTTATTCAATTACTTCATTCTATTCCATTTCTTAATTTCTATGCACAGCTTTAGTTACCCTCTTTGAGGACGGATTATTTATTATTCAGACCTCAGAGCTAGGTAAGAGATGCCATCTCCTGATCTAGCTCTGATTTGGGTTTAAAGCAATCAGGCTATTTGACAGGGTCAAATCATGGCGGCCTATTCAATGTTTTAACACAGACCTGGATTCTTGTATTATTGATAGCAATTCTACTCTTAGTAGAAAGCTTTGGCTTTCTCGCTCTTCCCATTAGTAAAGAGCTGGAGATAAATTCTTTGCTGGTGTTACACCAGCAAAATCAGTAGAAAGGTATGGATCCATAGAGCCCTGCATGGATACAAAATTGGTATCCGCATCTACATCCACAAAAATGAGCTGCGGCTACCGCATCTACAGCCACAGGTGTGGATACCCACAGATATAACGTGGCTAGGTACAGATTTCCAGGGCTCTATGAATCCAGTTCACAAGTAGGAATCCTTTTTTGGGGGGTGGAGAATGAAATACACAGGAGTAAACAGTATTGTCAGTGCTGTACCTACTTATTTTTAAACCTCCCCTTATTCCTGCCTGGCTGCTCTGCAGTCTCAGAAGTATGTGATTGTCTAGGTGGATGGGTTGAGGCACTTACAGCAGTTAGACTAGCACCACATTAAAGTTATGTTTAATTTGCTTTCCTATTAACATTTGTTCCAGAACCACAAAGATTTGTGGCTTACCCAAAACTAAGCTTAAGGAGTTTTAGGGCTGGGATGTTTGCCACATCATTCCCTACAATGGATCTCTATCCAGGCACTTTTGGTCCATTATCAACGGGGAGAAATGTACTGTATGGTGGGTGGGAAATAAAAGGGGGAGCTTGCTTTGCCTTAGTATCTGAAGGAAATATTGAGCCAAATCCTCACCTGGAAAAAAAATCAGCATGCCTCCCTTGACTTTAATGAAACTAGGCCGTTTTACCCCAGCTGACAATTTGACCTAAAAATTCTGAGGTGATGACTCACTGTAATATAGCGTAGATGAAGGATTTACATTGGTGTGAAGTACACATTTAAGTTGAAAGCATTGGATGTTCCTTCTGGCTGAATGCATCTCCCTAACAGAGCTGATTTTTTCATATTAGTTTCATGTTTCCTCCTCACTGCAGGTTGTGCCTAGATTATATGTTTCTTTCCAAATATTGGAACTTCTAGAATTTGATCAAATAGTTGATGTATTTGTCTATCCTGGAGAGTGTGTTGAATATATAAATTCAGAACATTCTTGTTTTTGTGTTACAATTTTATTTTACTAAGGTTTTTCAACTCAGTTTTTCAAATGTGGCCTTGTACTTATTTTCCTGGGTTTTCTCTTTTCTCTGTGAGTGGACCTTGGATGATGAATTATTTTCCTAGAATACCTCATGTTAAAAATTGTCCTACGGGCAGCTTGTGCGAAGTGCTGAGAGTATTATATGACTACGCAGTGCAGCACAAATACAAGGACACTCTGATGTGTGTTGTATGACTCCTTTACATGGCAGAAGAAATTTGAAATATCTGGATATGGGATTGTAATTTCATTTTGAGAGGGTATGGAGATTATGCGTCATATAATATTAGAGTATGGTTTGTATGTTCAGAGTGCAAGCCAAATAATAATTAATGAATCTCACAACAGCTCTGGGAGTCAAGTATGTAACAGACAGGGTTTTTTAATAGCTAAGGAAACAACACACGGTAGTTAATAGTGACACAAGGGCACACTGTGGGTTGAAGCATCAGCAGCACACAAGGCAAAGGTGGCTCTTGGCACAACTTAAAACAACCACACAGCTGGAAAAATACTATAAGAGCACTCCAGTTCTTTTCTTTTCTGCCCGCAGAGGCCAAGAACTATGGTGGAAACTTCAGCTGACCATTTAGGGCTGTTGTAAGGTCACTTTGTACTATTCTAGCAGCTGAAAGGGGTCCTAATAGGCAGAGGATCTGACTCAATGAGTCAGTGATAAAACCAGGCTTATGAATCCAGAAGTTACTGGGTTCTAGCCTCAGCCTCAATCTACTAGGCCATTTACTTCAGGAATGGCCCTAAATTGAAATAAAGGGGGTTTATAGTTTCCTTTTTGGAAAGAATACCACATTGTGATAAGCCATAAGTTGTTATCAGAGAGAAGTTTCCCAGAGGTAAAGCACCTATAATACTTGTAATGATGTTAAAGAAGTTGCATCTCTTTCAGGGAAGAAGGAGAAGTAACACCACTGATCAATCAAAAGGCTCCCAGTCCAGTTATGCACATACCTACAGTACTATGCTCGCCGGGGTTACTCAGGCCGAGTGTGCTTTTGGTGGCAACTACTTCATAACCTCTTATTAACTTTCTCTTTTATGGGCCTTATAAAATTGAAATAGATAAACTGTTCAGGGAGGTTTCATTATTCCTGTTCGGAAAGAAAGACTAACAGGCAATTCAGGCAACGCTATTTTGGACAAAGGCTATTGAACAAATTGAATTACTGTATATTACCAGCTAAGGACAATCACCAAGAATTATGTTTTATTCATGCAATTTACTGATGTCTTTGACCAATCTGACATTACAAAGATTGAGTCAGTCAGAATTTACAGAAAAAAGCAGAGTCAATGACAACTTGCCTCATTAAGAAGAAATGTTGGATCACTAAAGAAATATATTTAGTCATTTGTCTGTCAATTTGACTTTTTTTTTTTAATAGCACAAACTATTTTCTGCTCCCTGATCCAGATCTTAGGGATTTGATTTTGTCTCCCCAAGGTAAGCAGACAGCACTTGTGGCATCATAGAAAATGAGCGGCTATACATCATTCACAGTGAGCAACAGTGGTATTATGCATATGGCCCTATAACACATTCACACAACCTGTCCTTCAAGCAAGAGCATCACTCCCTTTCTGAAGTTCCATCTAACTCCAGTGATGGACAAAGAATGACAAGCATGGCTTCATGCATCCCTATGGTGACAGCTGTGCTTTCACCTCCACCTGCTGAATATTCTCCCTCCTTGCCTATGGGAGGACCAGTCAAAGTACCACAGATCTACAAAAGTAGATAAGGGGAGGAGTTGGCAAGCTTCAGGCAGTTTAAGATAAATATAAAGCATCTAGGGAGAAAGGACTTTATAGATAGGAAAAAGGTCAACTGATGATAGTTAGGAAGGCTGTCCTGAGCCTATCTATCTTTGGCAGATACAGCTGTCCATGCAAGTTTTGTCTGTTAAACGGGTACTGCTTTTAATTCAACATAAACAGTAGTGAGGACCTCTGACACCATGCAGCATAAGATCTTCCCTCTTTCCTTTTTCACTATTTTCTGCCCTTTTTCACTATTTTCTGTCCTACTAACAAGGAATGGTAGGGGTAGGGCCAGTGAGTAAGACAATGGAGATAAAAAAAAAATGGAAGAGAGCTGGAGCAAAATTGGTGGGAACCACAAACATAGGAGGAGAAGGAACCAGATGGGCTCCTCCTTTTTCTTATTACTTTGCAGAGGACCTTACCAAAAAAACTAACCAACCAAACAAACAAAAAACCCACGGCGAATCCTGACAATATAAGGTTACTGGACAACAGCTGAGACACAGAAGAATGTGAATGTCAAATGTTTCTGCGTATGAGAGTGCAGGATAAAATAATTGGAGCCGGTGAAAAGAAATGCTTCCTCTATATTTATTCCCAGACATTGTGATAAGCAGGGATAGGCATTCTAAGAAACAACAAATCAAATACTGTTGATCCAAAAGAATGGAAACAACTATCATTAGAATCATTTAAACAAATCTCTACTCATTTCTGTGATGTAGCAACATCCCAATTGGTCAATTATTGTTCATGTAACATTAGCACATTTAACTTTTGCACATGTGGGGGAAAAAGCAAGTCCTGTCTACCTATGTGAACAGATTTTGATGGACTAAAGTCATTTTCTGTAATGACTGAAAAGAATATATAGCACATAACAAATGTGTGTCTATATATTGCACATTTAAAATAAATGTGCTCATCTGTAATGAGCTGTAATAATCAATTAGACATCAGCACAGTATCTGAGTACTTCAATGGCTAAAACCCCCCAGTTATAGCCAACAATCAGCTTGGCAGTGTGGATTATTTTAATAGACACAACACTTTACAACAAGTCTTTACCATCTGTTCCACCTTCTAATTACAAATGCAACAAGAATATAATTCACAATTGCATCATTAAAAAGACATAAGGGATTTAATGTATGTCTATGCTCCTTTTTAACAGAGTGTACAGCTGTTAGACTTTCCTCTTGTTTTGTAGATAAAAATCAAGAAGGGAACTTTTTTTCTCTCAGAGGAAATTTCCTGAATTTGAGAGTTTTTCATACAACTGTATATATTCACATTCTTTAATATACATGGAATACATATGAACACAGGTACTTGTTTAACCTCTCTACTGTCTACTTAGGTATGATTATATAGGGATGGGAACAACCCGCAGTTCTGTTATGTGTTTGGCCACCAGACCAAGGTCTTATATGCTCTGTGTAAATCAAGAGCAACCCCAGCTGCATCAATTGATTTGCAACAGCTTCCAAATGGACCATTATGCAAGATGATGAGCACCCTGAACACTCCTTGAAATCATCTCAAGGAAATGCAAGTTGAAGACTTTCAGGGCTAGAGTCTTAAAGATACTTTCTCAACTAAAATTGCAGACAGACACGGTGAGATTTTTAAAAGAACCTGACTCTCATTAGAGTGCTTTTGAGTGGCCCATTTTACCCTACAAAATTCCACTATCTAAACACCTTCAAAAATCAAGCTCTTTAGTGGCACTGAGCAAAAGTCCCATGAAACTTTGGCTCCCAAGTACCTAAATCACTTGAATGTTGTGTTTAGGCTCCCTAGTCTATACAGGTTGGACCTCCTGATCCAGCACTGTTGGGACCTGGCTGGTCCTGAACAAGGGAGTGTGCCAGACTAGGGGAGATCAGGACTCTCCTAGGGGGACTCCAGCCTCCTGGCCAGGCAATGGGCTCTCCTGACAGCCCAAGCCACCGGGCTTCCTGCCCCGGGGTTGCCAGCCGGGCTCCGTGCCGAGAAGGCTACTTTCCAGGCTCTGCTCCTGGCCCACCACAGATGTCACTAGACCAGGGAGTCCTGGACCACAAAGGTTCAACATGAATCAGTATGACACCGTGCTGACAATGGGGTTTGGCTTACAGAACTCACCAACATGTTATATTCTAACTGCCCCATTTGCATGCTGCTGGCATAAACTGCATAATACCTAGTTTGCATTAATGTACTCTGGTGTGAAAGAAGTATACGTTAAAATAAACCAGTGTCCACATGGGGCAGTTAGATACCAAAACTTAGATGTGCTCTGCAATTCATAGCCCAATAGACATGCCCAGAGTCATTTAGGTAACTTATAGTATCTTCTCTTTGTAAATGTATATTTGTCCATAACAGCTGATGGTTCATCAAAAAGACTGATGACTTGTTAAAAAGCTAAAGGCTTCAACTGAAAGTAAAGAAATGTAATCTGAGTATTGGAAAAATACAGTAATCCCATTATTCCTCCTCTCCCAGCTCCCAACAGGCACAGTGTTTTAAAGTTTAACCTTAAATTTCTAAATTCAAATAAAAAAATCAGAATAAATCCAGAAAGCATATTTTATACAGCATATTAAATTTAAAAAAACTTGAAGTTGAGCAATCAAGCTCAGAAGCCAGGAAATTCAAATGGTACAGTTCCTATAGCAACTTAGACACATTGCACATGCTGTATCATTTCTGATATTAATTTTACAACATAAACAACAATATAAGGAATACAGTTAGAAGGAAAACAGAAGAACAAAAAGTGCAAATATAAGTTGCTGTGAGGAACCTTAAACTGAAGCTTTATCTTAAAAAACTGACATTGTGGGGTGCCATGTTTGTCTTTTTGTAGCTTCCAGTTCAAATGCATTCACTTTACAAGTATTTTGTTTGGTTTTCTTACTTGTGCCATGTTTGTCTTTTTGTAGCTTCCAGTTCAAATGCATTCTGTTCAAATGCATTTTGTTTGGTTTTCTTACTACCAGCCCTGAAAATCTCACCTGTAAGCTGAAAGTCATGCTGTTTTTTTTTAAATTTCCTATTTCTTCTCTATCAGAGGTGGTATTAAGAATAGGGTGGACAAACACTTACCAGGGTTGGGGGTAGGTTTACTTGGCCATGTGGAGAAGGGGGTGCTTGATGACTGTTCACTTTCAGTCCTACATGTCCATGATCTACGATTATCTCCAGCAATAAGAATTCTGCAGGGAAAATTCTGCTCTCAGACAAGCCAGGGAAAAGCCATTGTATTATAGAAGTACCTATAGAATGCTTTAGCTGTATGTTCTTCACTGCTCCCAAAAGCAACAGGCACTATCCCTAGAAACTTCCCCTGAACTAAGTGCCAACTCCCCTGATCCTATTGGCTTGAAACAGTGGCTAATAGGAGCTGCAGGGGCAGTGCCAGCTGATAAGGGCAGTGTGTGGAGCTTCCTGCCCCTTCCCAGCCTACAATCTGCTGCCAGAGGGATGCTCCAGTCTCTGCTGGGAGCCACTCCAGGCAAGTGCATCCCTTCATCACCCTCTCCCCCAACTCAACCCCCTTCTCCAGTCCTGAGCTTCCTCCTGCATCCAAAATCCCGCCCAGAGCTTACAACCTGCACCCATTCCTACACCCAAACTCCCCATTTCAAGTTCAGCTTAGAGCTCCCTTCCACTCTCAAACTCCTTCTCAATACCTGAGCCCCTTCCTGTACCCTAATCCTCTGCCCCAGGTTTGGCCTGTAGCCTCCACCCGTATCCAGACTCCATCCCAGAGCCTGCACTCCTTTCCATACCCTCCTGTGCCTTAACCCCTTACCCCAGCCCACTGAAAATGAGTGAGGGTGGGGGAGAGCAGGCAATAGAGGGAGGGAGGCTGGAGTGAGTGGGGGGCGGTTCCTTGGGGGAAACGGCAGTGCTGGGGGTGGGGCAAAGTTGTTTGGTTTGTGTCATTAGACATTTGACAACTCTACTGAATTCCAATCCCTGGACAAATCTAAACAAGAATGTGTGAAAAAAATCTAACTCTTTTTATCTGTATTGGCTCTGACCTAACAACAAAATGCATAACAGTTCCATAGTTATGCAGATCTTCAGTTTTTTTCTGTTTAGCTCTAGTTAATTTTCATCTTCATTTTTACTGTAATTTTCTATAATTGGCAATCACCTAAAACAATTTAAATGCAGAAGTTACTGCGTGAAAAGCTCAATAGTGTTTCTTTGTTTTAGGAAATTTTCTATAATTGGCAATCACCTAAACAATTTAAATGCAGAAGTTACTGCATGAAAAGCTCAATAGTGTTTCTTTATTTTAGGGTTGAACTGGTCACTGTGCGGAGCAGTACTTTAGCAGAAACATTTATGGGTACAGGAACCCATTTTCAAAGAACTCAGAGCCATATTTTCAAGAATTCAATGCCTTCATTATGGGCTAGATTTTTTCATAAGAGCTTAGGTTCTGTATAGTCATCTCAGTGAGGAACAAATGTTCTATGGTTCAAAGTGCCCTTTGATTGCCATTGTGACCAAATTATGGTCACATTTTCAAGGGAGCTGAGCATTCAAATCTAGCCACTTAGGGTATATCTAGACTGCGGCATTATTTTGGGATACTGGCACTATCCCAAAACAGCTATTCCACATCTTTTGAACCAGCCCATTATTTCAAAATAGATTTCAAAGTACTGAGCTCACTATTCCGACATCTTTCATTCCACGAGGGTAAGGGACATTTCGGAATAGTGATTTATTTTGAAATTAGATCACAATAATTTGCGTAGTTCAAATTGCATATCTTATTTCTGCCTATAGGTGAAGTGTAAATGCACCCTGGGTATGTCTACACTACAAAGTTAGTTCGAACTAACGGACGTTAGTTCGAACTAACTTTCATAGGCGCTACACTAGCGCTCCGTTAGTTCAAACTTAATTCAAACTAACGGAGCGCTTAGTTCGAACTAGGTAAACCTCATTTTACGAGGATTAAGCCTAGTTCGAACTAGCTAGTTCGAATTAAGAGCTGTGTAGACCCTTAATTCAAACTAGTGGGAGGCTAGCCCATCCCAGCTTGCCCTGGTGGCCACTCTGGGCCAAACCAGGGAAACTTTTCTTCCCCCTTCCCGGCCCTGGAACCCTTAAAGGGCCATGGTCTGGCTATAGTGCTTATGCCAGTTGCAAGCCTGCCAGCACCCAGCCAGCAGACCCTGCACCTGGCACGGCATGAGCCAGCCACCCGCTGCCCACCCGCCAGCCACCTGAGGACACCCAGCCCTCCACTACTCCCCAGGACCAACCTGGTGGCTCCCAGGAGCCTGCCCGGGGACGCAAGAGGCGGGCGCCCGCTTAGTCAAGTGCGGAGATCGTGGACCTCATCGAGGTTTGGGGGGAAGCCTCCAATGTCCATGATCTCCAC